CCCACTTTGCTCTTGCTGCTCCTTGGCCCAGCTCCCCCTTCCCACCACCACAGCAGCCACCACTGCCACTTCCCAGGCTGCCCTGTGCAGGGATTCTAGCCATGGTATGGAGGTCGGAGGATGCAGCCCCACCTCCCAGCTCAGTCCCTGGTCTGCTGTGTGTCCTTGAGCAAGTTGCCTTGCGTCTCTGACCCCCCAGAGGCCCTGTCTGTGCTACGGGGGTGGTGTCCCAGCGCCAGTGAGTTTTGCCCGGGTTGCTGGCTGATGTGATTCCCCAGAGGGGTACGTGGCAGGGGCCCAGGTCAAGAGAGCAAGTCAGACCTGGCATCCTTCCCACAGCCAGGCCCGGTGGCGGCCCCTGCAGAGCCGTGGGCAGTCAGCGTCTGTTTCATGTTGAAGTTTATGAGAAGAGGCTGGCCTTTCTGGGAGGAGGCCGGGGGGGAGGGGGGGTAGAGAAGCCTTTGTTCCATCAAAAATTCCTCCTCCCTTTGGCCCTGCCTTCCTCTGTAATCATAAACAGTGTTGGACTAAGTCCTTCCAGGAAGTGGCTCCTCACTGCTGAGCGGAGAGGGCTGCCCGCTGGCCTGTCCTCCCCTCCCTGCCTCCACTGCCTCTTCACCCCTGCCCTGCAGGTCACCTCTCCCCTCTGCCCGCAGGAGGGCAATACCACCAGGCTGGGCTGAGCAGAGGGACTGGGGGGTTTCTCCCCCGGAATACAGGCCTCAGCTTCATGGTTGGGGACACACTTACGGGGTGACAGACAGCAAAGGGAAGCCAAGTGCAGCCTTGTCGGGCCTAGTCCTGCTGCTCACACGCTGGAAGCTCTTTGGCATGTCCTGCCCCTTCCCCGTGCCACCTCCATTTCACCATCTGTTAAATGGGTTTATGATATTCCTCGCCCCACAGGGTTATGGGAAGAGTTGAATGGGAGCCTGACAGGCCATGGTAGTGCCTCAGAAGCGTCTGCCCTCTTTGCTCTTTCCGCTGTTCTCTGCCAGCAGCACCTGCAGAGCTTCTTAGGCCTTCCTCTATCTTTCTTGGTTCCTCTTTGAAAATTCTAGAAGGTGAAGACACCTAATGCAGTCTCTTTTTTGGCTGCCACCTCCCCCACCACCGGGGATAGTGAACTCAGCCTCTACCCAGGCCCCCTCCCATCTTCGGAGCTTTCCTCCTGTGATTTCCACCCCCTGGTCTCAGCCCCAGCATCTGCCTCACCCAGAATGCCGCCGCTGCCAGCTCCAGCAGAAAATCATCCTGAAGTTGCTGATAGTCAGTGAGCCCCTACAATGCCCAGCCACCCAGCTAACATCTTCAGAGGCATGAATGCATCCCATCCTTCCAGCAGCGCTGGGGGGTGAGCCCTTACCATCCTCCTGGGGTTCCAGAGGAGGAAACCAAGGCACAGAGAGGTGGAGACACTGATGGAGGGTCCCCCAGATCATCCCAGGCAGAGGTGGAATGCCATCACCAGCATCTGGCCATGACATCCGTGGTGTGGGCCACATCTCATATAGTGGGGTGTCAGAGGGGGCCTTCCCAGGGTGGGAATGGTGTGCTGAGGACCTCTGGCCCTGCAGGAGGCCGGAGCCCCCGTCCCTGGGCCCTGCCCAGCAGTTCACACTCATGATGGATGGCTCCAGAAGGCTGGTTTTCTAATTACTTGGTGTTGTGGGTCTTCCCGACCCCCACCCCCCCATCTCGCTCCTGCCTCTCATCTGCCTGCTTGGGCCTTTGGTGCATACTCTGTATCATCTTTCTTGTGTGGGTTTCCTTCCTGCTCATTTCTGAAGCAGAGACTCTTTGGGAACCGAATTGTCGGCCCCCTCCGGATCCTCACCCTTCACTTGGCTGAGTGCCCCCTTCCTCTGATGCCTGCCCCCCCTTTGCCCCAGTTGTAGGACCTGTCAGTTTCAGAGTCAAGCAGCCTGTGGAGCCAGATCCCAGAGTGGGCCTGGCTGGCGATGCCCCCAAATTTCCTCTTTCAATCAAGGAGTCTCAAATCCTACCACTGGTGAGGCACCCCAGGCCTACCTGTCATTCCCTTTTGAATGGAGGTGCTTTGGTGAATGGAGACACTAGGGGAAGAGTTCACGCAGTACTTCTTTCAGGATTACTCAGGAAAGGAGGCCACAGAAGCTAGGGTGGCTTAGATGCCATGTGTTCCAGGTACCATGTAGGAAAGGTGGCCCTGGGAGGGATTAGAGGGCTCACTGCATACCTGCTAACTTGAGACCAACAGAGCTCAAAGTGCCTTCAGAAGCATAAGTTGACCCCTCCACTGCAATTTGACTGGAGCCTGGACGCTGACTGCACGCTGAGTGCTCCCCTTGGCATGACGAGCCGCTCTCACAGACCTGCAAGGGCTGAGAGCCAGCCCTGCCTTAGAGCTGAGACTGAACCTCCTTCCCAGGATATCATGGCTACCAAGGAAGGTCAATAAAGATCCAAAAGACATTCGGCAGCAGGCCCAAAAAGTCAGGGCAATATTCTTGTCACTTTCTAGATTTAGATTTATATACTCAGCACGTATGTCCCTTTTCAGTGTTTTGCCTGAAATTCTAGTAGGTTGTCACCAAGTGGTGGTACTGGCTCCTGGAAATAAGAGACCTGATTCCTGAAGGAAGCAATTATCACTTTGTATGCTGCTATTGTTCTGTATTAGTAAATCATAATAATAGCTAACACTGCTGTTTTATGTATCAGGCACTGTCCTAAGTGTTTCCCATGTATTATCTCGGTTAATCCTCAGAACAGCTTTATATGGTAGTTCCTGTCATTATCCTTGTGAAGTAACTTGCCCAAGATCACAAAGCTAGGATTTGGATCCAGAGTCTGTGCGCTTAACCTTTATGCACTCCTTCATTAATGGGCAGTTACCCAGAGAAACACTACTGTAGAAACGGATCACCTCGTAGCCCAGAGCTTCTTAAGCATAATGGCACATGCATTCCCTGGGGCTCTTGGTAAGATGCAGATTCCGATTCAGTAGATCTAAGGTGGAGCCTGAGAGTCTGCATTTCTAACAAGCTCCCAGGGAATGCTGCTGATGAAGTCTAGGACCCATACTTTGAAGAGTCCCAGCGTAGAACCCGTGTTTAAGTCGGTCTCAGACCCAGAGCCTGCAAGCACCAAGGACAAGACGTCAGTGTGGGGAGCTGCTGGTTGGAGTGGAGAGGACCTTCCTCGGCCCCAGCTGATGGTCACCACGGAGATTTCCGGACCGATGTGGTCGTAGTTCTATGTGAAACATCTTCCATTTTCAAATGCTGGGGTAACAAATCCAACTTTATAAAACACCCTGTAGCTTGTACACGAATGTTCATAGCAGTATTATTCATAGTGGCCAAGAATTAGAAACAACCCAAATGCCTATCATCTGATGAATGAGTAAATAAAACATGGCGTGTCCATACAATGGGGTATTATTTGACAACAAAAGGGAATAAAGTACTGATACGTGCTACCACCTGGATGAAGGTTAAAAGCATTACTCGGAGAAAAAGAAGGCAGGCCCAAGAGGACAATTATTGTCTGATTCCTCTTAATGGACTAGCTACAACAGGCAAATCTATAGACTGGTGGCTGCCCAGGGCTGCAGAGGGTGAGAAGGGGGGGGTAGTCTGTTGAGTGACTGTTAATGGATACACGGTTTCTTTCGGGGGAGTATGACAGAAGGTTCTAAAATTAGCTTATAGTGATGGTTGTTAAACTCTGTGAATACACTGAGGCCCGTTGACTTGTACACATTATATAGGTGAAATGTGGGGTATATGAGTCCTATCTACTAAGCTGTTTAAAACAAAAACACCATGCAGGAGAGAACCAGTCTCTTTAATAGATAAAGTGCCATTACAAATCAACAAGAAAAATAACAAACCACAGCAAAAAAAAAAAAAAAAAAAAAAAAAAAAAATCACAAAGGACACACACCAACACTTAACAAAGGAAACATGATGGTTCTTAAACGCATGGGGAATCCTCCGTTGTTCATAATAAAAGACATACATGTCAAAGCCGCTCTGAGATTTTTCTACCTCTTAGATTGGCGATGGTGGAAACTTCTGGCAGGGAGATGGGTCATTACGTTGGTGCCCCTGCAGTGTGGTGAGGCAGGAGCCAACTCATCATTACTTTTCAAAATTAAAAGTGCACATGCCCCGCAGTTTTGTTTTTGAGAATTATCCCACAAATGTCCTCTCCGATGCGCAGAATGTGATACACAACGCCCACACAGTTATCCACTGTAGCATCTGTAATAATAGTGCAAGAGTGCACCAACCCAGAGGCTCCGTAATGGCACCTGGCAGACACGGGACCTGGCAGAGACTCTGTGCTGGTACAGCTGTTAAATGCAAGTCAGTAGGTCTGTGTGTCCTGTGATTCAGGGAAAAGACATATCATTATGCATCTTGTAATGCTAATATGCCCGAGAGAGATTATGAAGTAAAACAGGGAAGGCGTAGAACCAAATGTCGTGAGGGTCAGGGATATGTGTGCATCTGCGTATGCTGCGTGTGTTTTATAAATGGAGAGCCCACCTCCGGGCTGGGGTAAGGAAATGAAAATGGCCTCCAGGAAGGGAGCTGGTGGCCAGGCCCCGGGGGAGGGGAGACACCACTTCACTGCACCCCAGATTGCATACTTGTGCCCGTGTTGCCTCGCCAACGACCATGCAAACCACACCACCGGGGGGTGGGGGCCGGAGAGCAACTGTGTGCTGGTGCATGGGACCCCTAGATGCCTTTTATGCCATGAGTCAGAGAAGGCGTTCCTGGCCACTCTCCTGTACTTTGCTTCCTGAAATCTAGAAAAGATGTGTATCGGGTCTCCCGGCCTTGGGATTCCCATGCGTGCTCTGGGGGTGGCCCTGGTGTTCTCTGGCCGGGGACAAAAGGCGCCTTCCCCCCCCCACCTGCATGGGGAAGACTGTGGGGACCCTGTAGGGGCATCATTTTGGCCTGGTGGACCCCAGTGCCCTTTGTTTGCTTCCTGTCCTCTAGGCACGTCCCAAAGGTGAGGGTCTGACCCCGTACCAGGGCAAAAAGCGCTGTTTCGGCGAGTACAAGTGTCCCAAGTGCAAGAGAAAATGGATGAGCGGGAACTCGTGGGCCAACATGGGGCAGGAGTGCATTAAGTGCCACATCAACGTGTATCCGCACAAGCAGGTGAGCCGGGCGGGGCTGGGGGCTGGGAGGCAGTGGCTGGAGGGGCTCTCTGAAGGGTCTCGGGGCCGATTTTATTCCTTATTGGGCCTCAGTTTACTCCTGCATGTGACACGGATGAGACCAGATCTCTCCAAGTTGGCCCTTTGCTGGTCTCCTCTGCAATGGGAGTGAGAGAGCACCGTTTTCCCGGGAAGGAAAGGAGGTTCAGCAAGACCCTGAGACCGCAGACCTAGGCTTGTTCTGAAACTAATGACCTGGAGGTGGTACTGCAGGATGAGCGGGGATGTAGGGCAGCAGGGCACTGCAGAGAACACACGTCTTGTTCATTTGTTCGCCCAGTTGCCTCATGTACACAGGGCAGCTCCAGTGTTCTAGGCACCGTGCATGGGGCTAGTGGCCAAGGTGCACATGGGCATGCGGGAGGGTGGGGGGCAGACGTGGTAAGGCAGCTCGTCCCACGGAGGATCCACTCACTGCAGGCTGCAAAGAGGAGGTCTGTTTACTCTGGGACCTGAAGGATGGGAGGAAGCCAGACCTGTCACACGTGGGGGACAGCAATCTTAAGACTGAACAGTTGGTGGAAGTGCCCTGTGACCTTAAGGACTTGGGTGCTCAAGGCCTAAACCTCAGTGAAGGATCAGGAGAACCAAACAAGAGGAATGGGGTGGGAAGCTGAATGGGGTGCTTCCCAGCCTTGGGGGCCACTCAAAACCCACAAGCAAAGAGCTTTCAGCTTTATTTTGAGATGGCTCTTCTGGTGTATGCAGAGATTAGTCTTGGTGCAGCTGGGTGCTCAAAAGTAAGGAGACCAGTGGGAAAGTCATGGCTAAAGTCTCATGCATGGTGGGAAAAGAGGTGGCCCTGGACCTGGGCTGGACACAAAGTGTCACCGGGTTGGATGTGGAAGGTGAGGGACGGGCAGGAATCCATGAGCACAGTCACACCTGAGTGGATGGAGGTGGGCTTACTGGGGTGGGCAGCCTGGGCTGGAGGCAGGGCAGGGTGAGACCCAGTGTCCCAGATAAAAACAAGAGTTCTCTGATACACATGTTACATTTGAGATGTGCCTGGCAATCTAAGTTGAGATGTCAAGAAGTTGGATTTGTTATGCTGAAGCTCATATGAGAAGTCATGGTGGCTCCTACATACTTGGGCATCATTGACCTTAAGGTATTTAGGGAGTGGATGAGATTTCCTGCAGAATGGAGACAAAGTGGAGACAGAATTCCCCAGACCATGTGTTGCAGAAGCCCAGCACTGGGGGATCAGATGGAGGAGAAGTCCATCAAGGAGGAGCACGGAGGAGCATAGAGTCCTGGGGTCGGGGCTGGGCCATCTGAGGGGACAGGCGTGGTTGGTGCAGAGATGTCAGCTTTCATGGCCGTGGATAATTGCCCTTGGGATTTGGCACTAAGGAGGTGGTCCTCAAACTTTGTGGGGCACCACTTTGACATGGAGATCTTGTTGAATTGCAGCTCGGCTCTGGGAGCCACGAAGCTGATGCCCTGCAGGTCAGGAGTGAGGGTGGAATGGGGATGTGGGTTCATGGGACCCGCTGGCTGGGGCAGTGGCCGCGAGGCCATGACCAGGGAGGGAGGGTTTTGTGGGGCTGGGCTGCAGAGGGAATGCCTTCACTGTCCTCTCCCTTGAGGGGCTTTGACTGTAGAGAGCAGTGGGGGCGATGGGGCAGTCTCTGCGGTAAGACAGGTGGCATTGAGGCGGGTATGATGGAGTTGGGAAGTCCTGGAGTGCGTTACAGGCAAATTAGAAGGAGCCAGAAGGAAGCGAAAGGTTGATGATACAGGCAGGGGAGGGCGATGCCTTACCATAGGCTCAGGGGGGCAGGACGTGGCAGGTGGTTAGGGAGGTTGGTGGGTTTGCTGGTGCAGAGAAGAGGAGCTTCCCTTCCAAGGCTTCTGTCTTCTCAGAAATGGGGTAGGAGGTTTTCAACTAGCCATGAGGGGGAGGAGGGGTGGGTGGCCTTGGGGAAGGATGAAGGAGGAAGTGGGCCTCCTGGAGAGATGGAGGTTGTAACTGTCACCAGCCCTGCCAGCCTGGCTCTGTGACTTGCCCCAGCGGGGGTCACGGAGCAGGTGCGGCCCAGAGTCCATGGACAGCGGCACAGGGCAGAGGTTCACCTTCCGAGGGAAGAAGGCTGAAGAGTTGGCGTATGTGCAAAAGTGTGATGGTGCATTCCTGATGGGCGGGCGAGGCGGGGGGGTGCTGCACTGGGTGGGGTGGCACAGGGAGCAGGGTTCTGAAGACCAAGTCCAGCGTGCGGCCAAGGGGGCGGTGGGAGAGATCATGCTGATGACATCATGGGGGCACTGAGGAGCCAGGGCTGGGGCCAGTCCTCCTTGCGGAGGCTAGGTCACCGGGAAGGATGGTGGGAGCAGTGGGGGCTGGGGGCGGTGGAGGCAGGATGGAAAGGGAGGTGGGCTTTGGGGCTCTTGGGGAAGGCTCCCCCGAGGCACTGATGTTGGCTGAGCTCTGGTGGAGGGTGGAGGGGGCTGCAAGGGAGTGGCCGAGGGGGAGGGAACAGCATGTGCAAAGTGGGGAGGCCAGGGTCAGGTACAGAGCACTGGGGGGCTGAGAGATGAAGCAGAGGTTGGAGGTGGGGTCCCAGCTGCATGGGGCTGGCTCAGAGGCTGTGGCCTGGAATTTGGTCTTTATTCTATTAGGAGCATGGGGGAGCCTTCTGAGCAGATTCTCGTGGTGGAAACATTTTGTGATTTTATGCCCCTCATGCTGGCTTCCACTGCCTCTGTTTGCAGACCCTCCCTCCCTCCTCTCCCCCCCCCCCGCCCCCGAGGGTCTCTGTGGTTCCTATCAGCCACATTGCGGTACATGGACAAATAGACTCAAAGCTGGCCATGGCGATCCAGTGGACGGGGGTCTCCTGAGTGGTGGGCCCCGGCCCACATCCTTATGGTGTCAAGGGGGAGACTGAGGCCCAGCAGTGCCAGGACAGGCCTGATGACCCAGTGGGTAGGCCCGGTGTTTTAGGAGCATGTCCAGGCTGTGGGGCCAGGGGTGGGCAGTTTAAAGGAGACACGGTGTCCTGGTTCCTGATTTCCTGCCAATTCCTGAGACGGTCTGAGACCCCAGTCCAAAAACCCCTTGCCCACCGTGTCAGACTAAGAGCACACTTCCCTTTGGGTTGCACTCTGCTCTCCCAAGGGCCCTTGGGCATGGCCAGTGCCGTTCAGTGGAATTCATGGCTTCTCTCACTGGGCGCACTTCGTCAAGGGCTCCTCAGGACCCAGATCTGAGTAGGTGCTGAAGGAGGACCAAGTTCCAGGGCTGCCAGGCCTTCCAACAGGAGAGACAGGAGCCGGTTAGCAACTGGCCCCTAGGGAAACCCCAGGAGGCAAGGCCACAGGTGCATGCCCGTGAAGGGAGAGGGCAAGAATGGAAAAATCGTACCAGTACTTAATACTAGCTACCCCCTGCGGTCAGCTCTATTGGTTTCCCATTGTACAGAGGGGGAAACTGAGGCAAGGGGCGTAAGTGACTTACCCAAGGTCAGTGGAGAAGCTGGGATTCATGAAGAAGGATCAAGTTTGGGGCCAGAGGGGGAGGGGAGCAGGGGGGCCAGGTCATGGCGGCGGGCTGGGGAGGGGAGTTGGTAAGGCCCCATTTCCTGTGGGGGCTCAGATGTGCTGGGGCTTGGATGTGTGCTGGGGGTCTGCAAGGCTCGGTCCTTATAATGCTCACACCCTCTGCAACCCAGGCAGAGAGGCAGTGCGCCCTGACACTGAAGCTCAGTCTCTGTGTAGGTACCCAATCCAGAAGGATCGTCTGAGAATATGCGGCTCTGCTCTTCCCCTCTCCCAGTCAGACAGCCCTGTTTGTTGAGCCCTACTGTGTGCAGCCAGGACACTAAGGCCCAGAGAAATGACAGGGCTTGAGCAAGGCTCCTCGGCCTGGCGATGTTAAGGGGGACTAGGGCCCGGTTTCTCACGGCCTAGCCCCCCTAGTCTCCTCTCCTGGACTCTGCATGCTTCTCCCCTGGCCTTTCTCCCTCAGGGAGATCACAGGCTGGGTGGGGAGGGGGTGCCGCCACCCTGCTCCCCAGCAATCGGGCCTTTGAAGAGCTGAGAGGAGGACTTGGAGTCCCGCCCCCTAGCCCCCCCCCCCCCCCCGGGGGGGGGGGGGGGGTTTTTTTTTCCCCCCCCCCCCCCCCCCCCCCCGCCGAGCTCTGACCTGTGCGGCATCCATCCCCTGAGAACCCTCTACTTTCCCTCTCCTCCCTCCCTTGCCACATCTGTTTCCCGTCAGGCTCCAGCTGCAGCCCCCCTGCCCCCCAGGAGAAGAAAACACTGAAGGGCTCTGCCTCCCTGCTGGGGGTGGGGACGGTCCTGGGGTGATCTATCCCAGCAGCTGGATGTTTTCCTCCGGTGGAGGGGAGTCGTCCTGACAGCCTCCCCTAGCTCCTCCACTCAGAGCCCAGACCCATGGAGGGCAAGGGCATGGATGGGGTCACGGCCAAGGAGGACGGATGGTGAAGATATTGCAGGGGCATTTCCCCGGGGACTCAGCTAGCTCCCCTGCCCCTAGCCTGCCCCCAGCCCTCCATAATACTAACGATAGTAGCAATAATACATGGTATTAATATTGGCCAACACTTTGCATGGATGATCTTATTTACTCTTCACAAACACCTTATCAAGTAGATACTCTTAGTAACCCCATTTTATAGAAGAGAAAATTGAGGTACAGAGAGCTTAAGTAACTTCTAGAGGTCACACAGCCATTATGAAGTCTTACAGAGCTCTTGAAGGCTAGTAAGTGCTTTAAGACAGTCGTCTTCAGTGCCTGCTCTCTCCATCACGCACACAGTATATGTTATTAAGCTCCCACCCAGGTTACGGAAGGGTGCGTTGAGGTTCTAGAGGAGAAAGCTCTTACCCACCGGCCCTGCGTAGATAGGTGAAGCTGCAGGCCCTTGCGCAAGACCCTTACTGTCTTGAGGCCTCGGTTTCCTCGTCTGTAAAAAATGAGGATAGTAATATGCCCCTCGCAGCGAGGTTGTCAGGTTAGGTGGTAGGGTTTGCGTGGCAGTGCTTTGTGGGGTGTAAACCATGGGGGGCAGGGGTGGTGTGGGGCCTGCCAACTCTGGTCTCTCTGGCCCCACCTGGAAGACAGGTTCAGGGAGGCGCCCTGGCCAGCACGGAGAGCTGGAAACCAGACCAAGTTTGATCTGGGGGAGGGGAGACTTGAGGGCCGCCTCTCTCAGACCTATGGGAGTGTGCGGCTCCTGTGTGGCAGTGATAATGAGGATGGAGGGATGGGGAGCCAGATTTCAGCTCCAGGTCAGGAAGCCCTTCTCACAGCCAGGCTGCTCGGCCACCAGGGAGCTCCCCAGCCCCGGCTTGCACGCCGTGCCCATGGGTTGTTGTTGGTCTTCCTGAGATGTCTGGGAGAGCAGGTCAAGGGGTCTTCCTGGGCCTTCCAGCTTGAAATCACCACCTCAGTGCCCCTTTCCTTGGGGGTGCACCCCCCCATTAGTAATCATAACAAGGTATATGAAGAGCTTTTATCTGCTCTGCTCTTTCTTTCCATTGAGTTGTAACAAGGACCCCACAAGAAAAGTGTTGCCAACGCCCCCTCTTACAGATGGGGAGATGGAGGATCAGAGGGACCAGGTGGCTTGTCCGAGGTCACACAGCTTGTACGTAGTTCCAGCTAAACTCTTCTTCCTCTCCCCTGGCCAGGAAAGCCAGTCATCTTAAAGCCCCTTGGACAAAGCCAAGGCTCCCGTCCTTTTTGCATGCCTTCTCTGCGTGGCTGCAGGCTTGGAAGCACAGAGATGGGTTTTATCACCCTTGGATCAGAGCCTTGCCCTTCCACCGTTTCTGTGCTCACCTCCCGGAGCCCTGTGGCTCTTCCATTTCGCAGACTGCTCTCAGTGTCCGCTTCGGGCCAGGTATTGCTTGAGGGGCCAGAAAAGCCCAGCTACTGCTTTTGGGAGGTTTGCAATCTGCCCGCAGCTTCCCTCCAGGACCATCCCTGGTCACGGCCACTGACACCAAGGTTCCGTGACCCCACAGCAGCCTTTGCTTCCTGACCCCTCTCCTCAGCATGTGCGTCCCAGCTGTCACCAACCAGCTTCCTTTGAGTCCCCCCGATCCAGGCAGGGGACCCTTCTGTAGGTGGGCGTTCTGGGCTGGCGGCTTCGACTGCCAGCCAAGAAACTCTGCCTCAGGAGGTGTGCCTAATAGCCTCCATAAATTTTCCAGGGAAACAAGTCTCTGCTGGCTTTTGCGAGCCAGGATGGGAGGGAAAGAGGGAGCAGGAAGCTCCTTATGTTGCAGAAGTGCTCTTTCCTGCATGCCTCACACTGCTTAGTTTACAAACATCTCGACATCCAATTCTTCCCACGATGTACAATGATGACCCGCTTTCCAGATGTGGAAACTGAGGCCCACAACCGATGTGCAATGATGACCCACTTTCCAGATGTGGTAACTGAGGCCCCCTGAGCTCACATAGTCCATGAGTAGCATCACAGGTCTGGCAAGCCACCTCCCTTCTCTGGGCCTCCGTTTCCCTGTGAGGACACAGTGGTGTTCTGCTCCTTTGACCACTCAACGGACAGGGCGAGGACTGTGCCAGGCCCTGAGGCGAGGGGCACTGGCTGCTAACCTCACAGAGCCGAGGGCTCATTTACCCCAAGCCTGAAGCACAGCAGTGACAGGTAGCCTGGGAAGAAGCCCCAGGTGTGCTGGAGGTCAGGAGATGTGGGCTTGGGTCCTCCTTGCTCTGGGCCTTACTTCCCTCTTCTGGGTAATGTCCGTGCGCCACCGTCTTGCCTGGGTCCCGGGCTTTTGTGAACTTCGGGGGTGACCGCTCCGATAGTCCTGGGGGAGGGCAAGGTGGCATCCAGACCGTGTGGGTCCAGGAGCCCCAGCCCCGGGCCGTGCACCGGCCACAGGCAAGAGGCAGGAAGGGCCCTGACCCCTAGGGAAACAACCTCGGTGACTCCAGGCTTTCTCTCCGGGCACCCCCACCCCTGTCTGTCTGTCTGTCTTGTACTGTCTCTGTGCCTCTCTCTGCATCTGTCTCACTCTCCCTGCTTCTCTCTGTGTTTCTGTCTTTCTCTCCACTCCCCCCTTCCTCTCTGCAGAGACCCCTGGAGAAGCCCGACGGCCTGGATGTGTCCGACCAGAGCAAGGAGCACCCCCAGCACCTCTGCGAGAAGTGCAAGGTCCTGGGCTACTATTGTCGCCGGGTGCAGTGAGCCGGCCCCCGCCGCTGCAGGAGACGCCCCTCCCTGTCCACCCGCCTTGCCGCGTGTCCTTGTGCGCGTGGGGGCAGCCTCACGGCCTTACGCGCCGGGCATGGGTGTCTTACGCTCTCGTCTCGTGTGTGCTGACAGTGTTACGGATGCGGCCGCCCCCACAGAACGCCGGGTCTGCCCCCCCAGGTGGGCCTGGGGTCTGTGTGCAGGGGACGGGGTGAGCAGAGGTCAGCACCCAGGACCCCATAAAGCCCTTGGTGTCCCCTTGCCAGCGGTCTTCCTCTGAGACTCCCTTTGGGGTGAGCAGCCTTGTATTGGCCACAAGTGCACTAAATGTACTGTGAATCCCAAAGCCTGCAGGGGACTGTCTCCCCAAGACTAGCCAGGCCTCCTTCTCTACCCAGAACCTTCCAGTTTGCCCTGTGTGCAAAGCCACTCTCAGAGAGCCCTATGTTTCTGTCCTGTTTGAGTCAGCAATCCTGGCGAGCTGATACCTGTTCTAGCAGCTGCTGGGGAGTGGGCATCTCTGCCCCCTGCCCACCATGAGCCCCAAACCCCACTGCCTGTGACATCATTAACATTGCACAACCTAGGGAGGAGCTGAATGTTGGACAGGGTTCCACGGTGTGACCTGGGGCACATCAGATAACACCTTCCCCTGCCCCCCACCACACACTTCTCCCACTTGGGATTGGATTTTGTCAAGCCCCTTCCCTACCCTTCTCCTTCACCCCCACCCGTGCTGGGGTCTACCCCCTGATCGAGGCCTTAGGGCCTGGCGGGGGAGGCCCTCTGGCAGGACGGACACAGGCCTGGTGGTCTGGAGACCTAGGTTCTCGTGCCAGCCCTGCTGCTCACACACTACGAGGCCTCGGGAAGGACTTCTCATCTCTGGCCCTCAGGGTGCCCACTGGTTAAGTGAGAGAGGGGCTCCGGGTCACACAGGCCCATTTCAGTTCTGGTGTTGTGGGGTTCACATGGAGCTTTATCTGGAGAGGCCCACCAAGTGCCACCTTGCACACGGCCACCTGTCAGTCACTTAGGATAAAGTTGAGGGATGCCGGTCCCTCCCCCATCACCGCCTGTAACCCCTGTCCTGCCTGATGTCCCCACCCCACCCCTGCAAAAATGAGGGAAAAGGATCCCCCCTCACACAGGGCAACCCCGACGTAAGCTGCAGAACCTCTCGTTTATAAAATGGGGACAATGATTTCCTACCTCCCAAGGGAGCAGGGAGGCCTCTGGGCAAGTCACACTGGTCAGGGAGACTGCTGTCCTGGCTGGCGGGAGGGGTCACGCTTGCCTCTCTCCTCTCTCCCCCATGAGAAGCCTTATTTTTACTGTCCCATCACCCCTCCTTTCTCCCAAGGAGAGGGAGAGAGCCGGCCGGCAGGACTGGGTCACTTGATTTTGCCCCAACATTATGCCTCTGTGGGAAAAAAAAAAAAAAAAAATCAGACCATGAAATGGACCTGAAATTCAGTGTTTACCATGGCTCAAGGTCACCCAACCGGGGCCCGGTCGCCTTTTGTTTTCAAATGAAAATGCTGTGTATAACTGAGGAGTTACAGTGAAGTGATAACCAGGGGTCCAGGGAGCAAGTTGAAGAGATGGATGAGTGTGTTTGCAGCCTGGGGGAGGGGGTTGCTGCAGGGGACATGTCAGGGGGCTGTGCCCTCTGAGCACTTAACAAGAGGATATTTGCTCCAGCCTGAGCCCCGTGGCCACCTCCCTGCTGCCCACAGGGGCAGAGTGCCCAGCAACCAACTGTGAACACCCTCGCTTCCCACTGGGAGTGCCACTGAGGAATCCCTCCGTGGTGGCAGGATGAGCTGGAGTCATCCCGGCCCAAGGCTCTCTGTCCCCAGGGAGAAGCTGTTCCTGTCATCCTAATGCACCACGGAAGGTAGTGTCCGCAGCAGTGGACGGTGCGCTGGTCTCTGCTGTGAGGACCGGGACCCAACCTTTCCAGGGACCTGGCCCCAGAGGGGGACCTTGGCCCCAGGAGGCCTGGAGACTGCCAACCGTGCTGCAGTGGTGGGGGCAGCCCACACCCTAAAAAGAACGCAGGCTCCAGACTACTAGAGTTCAGAGCCTTCCCTGGGCCAGTAGGAAATGGGATATCACCCCAAAGTGACCTTGTCAGTAGGCCTGTCCAGCTGGTAGCTGCCGGCCCCCCCATCTGTGCAGAGCTGGCCGACGTGGGGGCTGGGCCCTCCTGCCCGAGGCAGCCCCTCCGCACTCCCCACCCCTGCATGGCTCTGGCTGAACGTGGGAGCTCTCCGTGGGCAGCAGGAGCCGATGCTGTCCAGGCCGGGTACCGTGAGGATTAAGTGCTCAGAGGGCCCGAGTGCCCAGGAAACAAGAAAGTGTGAGGTTTGTATGTTCAAAAGGGACAATCGCCTGCAGTCAGTAGATCTAGTGATCTAGTTGAGAGATAACAGTGTTTAACCCATATGAAGTATTCGATAGTTCTACTTGTGAATTTGTATTTATTTTGAGTTATACTTGACACAGAATTCTTTTTTTTTTTAAGAAAAATACTATGTGTGTATTTTGAAAAAAAAATCATAGATGTTAAAATTTCTTCTGGTTACCAATTTTTCTCATGACACTGAATTTGTTACCTTCTCCCGAAAAAAATCTTCACAGTGATCTTTGTTTGTATATATTTGAGGGCCTTTTTTTAAAAAAAGAAAAAGAAAAGAAAAATATAATTGCTCGATTTTTGAGATTAAAAAAACAAAGGCATTTTCAAAACTTTGGAGCTTTCAGGAGGGCACTAGAATATCAAATGAAGATTTCTGGAAGTATTTTTGCAAACCCTCTGGTTGAGCTGCAAGAAAATATTTATGGTGAGAACTTTTCTCTTTTTTCCTGTTGTTGGTTTTTTTTTTTTGTTTCGTTTTGTTTTTGGTTTGATTTTTTACTATGCTTTGATCTGTAAAAAGTATGCAACTGAACTACATTAAGAAGGAAATATTGTCTACATAGAATATTATATGAAGTTGGTACATAATTCTGAGGAGGAAAAAAAAATCTTTGCAATTCTTTAAGCCATATTGTTGTTATTCTGTGTTGTTTTCCTTGGATGAAAATATCAGTATTAAGTAGCCAAGCATATTATTCAAGTGCTTAGACTTATTAATATGTTCGTGTCCTGTATTTATACGTATGTGTATTTTGGAAAGTATTGCTTTTTTTTTTTTTTTTTAAGGGAAGCTATTATTAGATACTTAGCCAAAAAGGGAATAGTGACCCCTTTGATCCTCTTCAGCTGAGGGTAACGAACACAGCATTGTATTCCATTCTCTTGCACCTTCTTATTATTATCTTGTTATTATGGTTATTAACTTTGTCGGGGGGCAGGGAGTGGGCCAGGGGAAGAAGGGGCCTCGCAGTATTACACAGCCATCGTAGGATGCCTAACCAGCCCCTCCATGGTTGGCCAGCTCCAAAGATGGCCTCCTTGGCCTGGTGGAGGGCTCGGGTCAGCGGGGTGCAGGAGGGAAGAGGAAATGGGAGGCAGACTTCCCCATGCCCCTCTTTGGAGCTTTGTCATCTGAGCCACTCCTCTGGGCCCCATGCTCTTTGAACTAGGATGTGCCAACCAGAGCCCTTACACCTGCCCTTCAACATCTAATAGAGTTGAATCTACTCTAAGTGAATATTTAATCCAACATCACTACATTGTAGCCCAGTGCAACAACTAATCCTGAAGTTTGGGAGGCGTTCCAGCTTTCAGGGAGGTGGCTGAGCCGTCCCCCAAGGGCTGGTGGCAGAAGGGCCCATCGCCGTCTGTCGCCAACCTCACCGTCGGATCTCCTCCGTTCCTGTGTGGTGACCCTGTCCGTGTCTGTATCTGTTAATACGTGTGTGTCCAGCTGAAAAGACAAACAGAACCCGTGGGCCCAGCTCGGAGGGTGCATGGAGAAGGCTCCTGACCTCTCCGAAGGGCCGCCCTCGGGATGGCATTCCGTTGTGTGCCTTATTCCGGGAAAATCTGTATACAGCCTGCCTATAGCAATATAGCCTTCTCATGTTGTATTAAAAGAACTTTTAAAAGCAAGAAAGCCTCATGGGTTTCCTTGTTCACACAGAGCATCAGTGGGGAGCTGGACGTCTTCACAGATTCATGAGGCCAAGCCGAGTGGGAAGGATTTTGAGCTGCCTTTCTCCTGTCCCGGGTCTGGGTCATCTTGTCTTTGCCCTGCCTCCACGCCATCGATTTGCCTGCTCCCAGCCCCTCTGCCCCCAAGTGGACACTCTCTCCAGAGTCAGGGCCCTCCCCAACTCGGGCCCCAGACTGGGCGAGATTGTCAGCACATTAGGTCACACGTTAGCTCAGCAGTGGGACTCCCGGGTGACCATATATAGGAGTGAATCTTCCTTGGAGGCAGCAGCCCTGGGCCTCACTGCCGTGGCCACATTTGGCCCTCCTGCCAAGTCCAGAATTTGGGCCTCAGACCCTGGGCATCACACAATGAGCAATCGGAAGTGTCCAGGCCTCCTGGGAAGTCCCCAGGAGAGGGAACAGAGGATCTCTCTCTTCTGAATGAGCCAGGATGAGGCCAGCCTGTCACAAGGTGGGACTCTAGCTGAGAGCCACAGACAGGAAGTCATGGATCTCAAGAAGCCACCCACACATGGGGCCCCTCGGCCCGGGGCCAGTGCTCTGGTCACTCTCAACCTTGCTGTTCACCGGAATCACGATGGGGGCTGTGGTCCCACCCCAGAGATGCTCGAGAACTTGGCCTGTGTCCTCAGGTCTTTAAAGCCCCCAGAGAAGTCCAATGTACAATGTCGAGAAATGTTAGGCTTTGAAACAATCCCTCATGATCCTGTGGGGCCAGTGGTGATGTCAGGGTCGGGGAAGCCTGTGGGCAGAGGTTCTGACCGCACTGGAGGGGCACCCCATCCTCAGCTCCGGCCAATTACTGCTATCTAAGAATATACTGCTTAGATGGTGGGGGGGGGGGGGGGTCCTGGAAATCCAGGTGGTTATGTGAAATTTTCCAACTTTACATTTTGGCAACTAGTCTACTAAAGTTGTAAATAGTATATAGGTCAAACCATGTGTCTGTGGGCCAGCCCTTGCCTCCAGAATGCAGCCTCCGAGACAGAGCAGAGAAAAAAATGTGGGTCCTTGGGATCAGGGACCACAGTGGGGAAGGGGCAGGGAACAGGCAGGAGCAGAGATCTCCGACTTCAGAAGCAGGGAGTGCGCCCCCTGTATTATTTGGAGTGTCCAGTGACTCCCAGAAGCCATCAAGCCCTTCCCTGCTTGCCGACACATTCACCCCCGCCTGCCTTCAGGGTGAGAGGTGTGGTCGATAGGGCTGGAGTCAACCTGAACTCAGAACCAGAGCCAAGCAGGTGAGTGGAGAAGGGGACCAACCCCAGCACGGTAGGAGGAGGCAGGGATCACCTCCTCGGAGTGCCTGTCTGGCGGCAGGCACCCTGCTGGCAGCCCAGGAGGGATCTGTGCAGATCTGGACACTGGAGCCCTGCTCCGTGAGAGTGTCCCTGTGCCGCGCAGCCCTGTCGCCCCTGGCCGTGTGAGGCTGAGCCGTGCCTCCGCCTCTCTCTGAGCCCTGGCTTCCCCAGGGATAGTGTGCAGATCAGACAGGTCAGATGGCCTTGTAAGCACCAGGCCCAGTGCCTGGCTTGGCACCCGGGGATTCCCCAGGGACGTGGCTCCGTTGCTCCTGTTGTCCGTGACTCAGGCAGCAACACCTTGCCAGAGATCACACAGGAAGTCAGAGGGGCAGCCA